TTTTGTTGACCTTTGTCCATGGAAGGTCCCTGCAAAATTTCATTGAAATTGGTTCAGGGGTTTTGGAGAAGAAGTCGAAAATGTAAATTGTTTACGGACGCACGACGGACGACGACGGACAAAAGGCGATCGCAATAGGTCACTTGAGACTTTGTCTCAGGTGACCTAAAAAGTTGAAATTAAATCATCAACAATTGTTTTATTGGCAACATTTGCTCCAAGATAGTAATATCAATTCAAAACAAGTATAAAAGTTTTATATTAACCAACTGTCAGAGTTCAAGAGTCCATTAATAGATATGAATGGGTCTAGATATATAGAAATCATTTCAATTTAAGTCTAAAGAAGTAAAACTTTCAAGAGAAGCATCACCTTTAGCGGTTGCTTTGTATTTTTTTGACATTGTGGTGGTCTTTCAATAAATTGATAAGAGAATTTATGTTAAGTGTGGTTTCAAGACATCTGGTTTTGTAAATGTAATGTTTAATGATGTTAATTTCAATTTTACTGAACTCATTTCTAATTGACAAGAACCCAAAATTAAATGATTCTTTATTAATAGTAAAAGGAGTCAAAAGTGTGTCTAAGAGTATTTCCAAGCTCTGCAGTAAATTTTGAACTTTTTGACATTCCTAAATTATGTGAGTTATGGTTTCTGACTCTGATTTACAAAAAGTACAAAGTGGACTCACAACTATATGTTTGCCTTAAATGGTAGTGTGTTTGTTGTTAAAATATTATGTAAAATTCTAAACTGAAACCACTGAAGTTTTGAATCGTTTGTTATTTTGAAAGGTAGAGAAAAAATATTTGCCCAATTAGAATTATCAAAGTCAAATTGATCTGCCCATTTTTTCCTGCCTGTTGGTATTTCATCATTCTTTGATAAGATTTTATATAAACATTTTGTTCCTGGAGTCTTATCAAAAAATGGTTCCATGTTTAAAGGAATGAAAGGAAGTAGAAGTTTTATATCCTGAATCCATTGTGTATCAATAATTAATTTAACAGATTTGACAAGACCATGAAAGTGAAGGAAGTTTGTTAATATATTTTCTGTGTAAATTCATGGTAGGAATAGAAAGTAACAGGATTTGTATTTTCAACATATCATTTATCACTCTAACACCCTTAGCATACCAGTTATTGTAAACGACAGATTTTCCACCAATAGTTATATGCCATAAGGGGGTTTTCAGCATAGAGAGTTGTCTACCCTTTGGTAAATCAGAATTTAATAATCTATCCCAGGTAGTTTCAATACATATATACCATGGCACTAGGTCTTGCAGTTCTTAAGAGAGAAAAAATAGATGGACAACAAATGGATGCTGCGTGATACCATAATCTCACCGACACATGCCAGGTAAGCTAATAAGAATCTCACCGACACATGCCAGGTAAGCTAATAAAAAACCCAACATGGAATCCAGTTTATTTCTTTGGAATGCAACCAGCAGTTCAACAAATATCACAGTAGATCTTCATTGTATTTAATAGTAATAGCACAGAGTAGATGTTGGTATATTGTACAAAAGGTACAACATCAGTATAACTTCACAACATCATTAAACTTTACAACATCAGTATAGCTTTACAACATCAACATCAGTATAACTTTACAACATCAGTATAACTTTACAACATCAGTATAACTTTACAACATCAGTATAACTTTACAACATCAGTATAACTTTACAACATTAATCTAAACTGTACAATATTGATATAAACTTTAAAAGATCAGTATAAAACAATACAGCATCTATATTTTTGAATTATACGTACTTCAGCTAATAAATCGAACATTTAATATCACATCTACAAAATCTACAAAGTGAGAGTCTCTTTCAATCCACTACAACTAATCTATTTATCAAGCCAATATTTTCGGCAAACCATTTTTCTGTATAAATTGGTCCAGTTAAGTGTAGCTAGGAGCAGGACTGGCTCAAAATGTAAATGTAAACTTTATTTATTTTACAACAATTATGAAACAAGTTCAAATTATCTTTCATTAAAGGAATTTACCCCCCAGTAAGATCATTCATTGATAGGCAAACAGGCATTGACAACACCAGTATATTCTGGATTATTAGCAAGTGTTAATTCAATTACATTCAAGGGATATGAATCTAATACTAGTTAGGTGTGATGTGAAAGGTACCATCTCTCCTTAAGGTACATTGTTATCACACACTTGCAGTTAGAGTGTAAGAAAACATATTTTGAACAAATGTGATTTCTAAAAAGTGCTAATTGTAATATATTGTTTTTGCTAAACCCCAACACACACACACCTTCCCTCTGAATACCCATGCAAACATATAAGATGCCGGGTTTTGTATCAGCTGAACAGCACAAAGTGGCCCAAAACAACTAATGTTGTTAATGTTTCGGCCAATCACATGTGACAGCAGTTTGAAACTCTGTCCTTAAAAGTTGTTTTAATTTTTAGTAAACCCCAATATACCGTGAACTGTTCGACCAGTCAATCTTTCTCCCTTCACCTTCGCCCAGTCAATCTTTCTCCCTTCACCTTCGCCCAGTCAATCTTTCTCCCTTCACCTTCGCCCAGTCAATCTTTCTCCCTTCACCTATGGAATCCATTTTTGCCCAGTGCTAATAATTTAACAACTTTGTTTATCATGCTGTTAACTTGTACTCAACGATAACTTGGCCTTCATTATGGACTGTAAAAAAAGGCAAAAATTAAACTGCAGCTAAAATGTCCCTGTATACAGTATAACACTCCAGTAAATTATGAACAAAGTTAGCCCACTAGAGCACAATTTATAACGAAAACAGTGTAAGCCAACCAGTACCGGTATGGCAGTAAGGTTCCTATCAAGTGTCAGAGGAATTCTGCATATTAAAACTAGAGCAGTGGAAACCGTGGACACTTTTGTTCATTACTTAAAAAATGGCTGGACCAGTTGAACCAAAGTTATTTGTTTACAAAATTAGGGACTGATCCAGTGACCTGTTGTTGCTTTCTGGCAAGCTATATAGAACATTTTCAACAATTTATTTAAAACATTTGCATGTCCAACAGGCTTTTATCCCTGAAAAATCACATTTAAAAAATAAATAAAAATGGTTTGTCCAATAAACAAATAGGCCCCTTGTATCTGAAGATCAGTATTATCCAACATTCAATATTATCCAACCCTTTTTGTAAGAAACAGACCCCCTGAGCTTTTACAGGTGAAACAAATGATAAATGTAAACCTGCAAGATCACTGTTTAGAATCAAGAAAATATTGTAATGTCTAACTTTGCAATAACCATCAGATGGTCTGAAGGAAAGAATTCTTCATCCATTATTGAATATACGGTTTCCAGACTCTGTTCAAAATTCCACCATCCAATGGTCACCATTGAAATGGCAGTTATCACTGATATTACAAATAACATATATGGTGGAAGGCGAAAAAGTGGCCATTTTCTCAGACCACGAAATAATCAGAATTTCCGACTGTTGAAATTGAGAGGTCTGAAATTATCTGGATTACACAGACAACAATTACATCCTAAGATTGCAAATACGGCTTCGCCTTTAAAATCAGCTCCGCTAATGAGCAGACAGACAACAGCATAAAATAAATGAATAACTGTTAAAATATTTAGAATTACAAATATAACAATGTAGATAAACACCCGACTAGAACATTCCTCACATTCTGGGAGTGTACATGTTGTACCAATAGGGTTATCTCCCCTTACACACACCCCACAGCGACAGTACCCACGAGGGCCACAGTCATGGAAACAGGGATACCCAGTTACACCGTACCACGATAGGTAGGATGAGTGGAGCAGAGTCCGGAGCCTCTCTGTCACAATCCTCTGGTAGTAGTGAGATTTGTAAATTGTACCGTTTCCTTGGAGGTGAACACCATGTGGTTTGAAATTTGAGGTCGCTAAAATGCGATCTGGTCTACTTGCATACCCAGGAGTTGGCTAGAAAATAAAAATAATGACAGATTGAGTATTACACAGAGAGGTAGCTATGTAAAAGTAGCTTGTTTTCAGCATTTCCTCCCAGTCAGCTGGGTCACATTTTATTTACAAGAGGCCTAGAGGGCCTATATTGCTCACCTTGATCTTTGTTCCATCAATGGTATAGGGTTAAAGGGTGGGGATCTCAACCATTTCAAAGTCATGACCCAAACATTAAGTCCCTAGGGGTGGGGTCAGGCCCAAGAGTCAATTCTAATATTATTACTGTGTTTATCACTGTATCCCCAACATTTGTATATATTTACATTTGCGCTGCAACCCACTATATGAACATTACCGGCAGAAATGCATTTCATTTGAGTATGAAAGCAAAAACTCTTGTGACGTAACACATGGTTTACTTATGACGTCATAGATTAACCTTGTTCAATGAGTCTTATTGCTTCACTTCGGATAATATGGAGAATGGTCCTGCATCAAACGCTCAAATGACTACGGTTTATTATTGGCTCAAATTTTATCTAAATAGGGCTGTTCCGCCAATATTGATGAAAGGACACCGCATATACAAAACGCAGTAATACATGATTTACGAACAAATAAATAAAATTAAACAATTGTTCTATAGTAAAAATGTAAATATATGGATTAAACGGCGTATTTTTTAATTTTCATCCCGGTATGAACACAAATCGGTTACATCCATATTAAACATGAAGCCCTAGCAGACTTCCAAGCAATATGAATGTAACCAATTTGCGTTCATACCGGCATAGAAATAAAAAAAAACGCCGTTCAATCCCTATATGTGGTTATGGGGTGGAGCCAATAGCCAGTGTAAATTCTAATATCATGACTGTGTTCGTCTCTTGATGCCAAGCAATGGAACATATGGTTATGGGATGAGAATCTCAACTGTTTGGAAGTTATGCTCAGGAGTAAAGTCCCTAGGGTGCTTGTTTCTTGTCGGTAATCATGATGTCCAATGTATTTGTGAAGGCCAACATACCATATTACTGAATGTTCGTCCACTGCTAGGATGTCCAACCATCTCCCAAACGTCACTCCATGGTGATCTTCCCCTCAAACTCAGAAACTTTTCATCTTGTATGTGACACTCCAACAGCGTTTTCTGATTGGGTAACGTGAACAGCTTCACTGGCCAATCAAAGTCATTGTACGTGTTGAAATCGCCCAGGACAATACTCCGTAAATGTTCAGATGAGCTTTCTTGATCTGGATATAAAACATACCAAGGAAAACAATTAATTTATAGGATCCCATAAACTTGAAATCGATATTACTCTTTATATTGAGAAGCTTAAAAAGTATAGACAAAGTTAAGAAATTGATATATTTTATTTAACATTGCATAATACTAAAATATTTAATTCATTGCAATGTCTGACTTAATAACAATATATAATATTGGTTTATCTCATGTAACATTATTTGGGCCAGTGATTTGTGTTCATCAACATGTGTACATCAACTTGTGTACATCAACATATGTACATCAACTTGTGTACATCAACTTGTGTACATCAACATGTGTACATCAACATGTGTACATCAACTTGTGTACAACAATTTGTGTACATCAACATGTGTCCATCAACTTGTTTACATCAACTTGTGTACATCAACTTTTGTACATCAACTTGTTTACATCAACTTGTGTACATCAACATTTGTACATCAACATGTGTACATCAACCTTTGAACATCAACATGTGTACATCAACATATGTACATCAACATCTGTACATCAACTTGTGTACATCAATTTGTGTACTTCAACATGTGAACATCAACTTGTGTAAATCAACATGTGTACATCAACTTGTGAACATCAACTTGTGTACATCAACTTTTGTACATCAACTTGTGTACATCAGCATGTGAACATCAACTTGTGTACATCAACATATGTACATCAGCTTGTGTACATCAACATATGTACATCAGCTTGTGTACATCAACTTGTGTACAACAATTTGTGTACATCAACATGTGTCCATCAACTTGTTTACATCAACTTGTGTACATCAACTTGTGTGCATCAACTTGTGTACATCAACATTTGTACATCAACATGTGTACATCAACCTTTGAACATCAACATGTGTACATCACCATGTGCACATCAACATATGTACATAAACATGTGTACATCAACTTGTGTTCATCAACATATGTACATCAACTTTTGAACATCAGCATGTGTACATCAACATGCGCACATCAACATATGTACATCAAAATGAGTACATCAACATGTGAACATCAACCTGTGTACATCAACATGTGTACATTAACTTGTGTACATCAACTTGTGTGCATCAACTTGTGTACATCAACATTTGTACATCAACATGTGTACATCAACTTGCGTACATCAACATGTGTACATCAACTTTTGTACATCAACTTGTTTACATCAACATGTGAACATCAACATGTGTACATCACCATGTGCACATCAACATATGTACATAAACATGTGTACATCAACTTGTGTCCATCAACATGTGTACATCAACTTTTGAACATCAACATGTGAACATCAACATGTGTACATCAACTTTTGAACATCAGCATGTGTACATCAACATGCGCACATCAACATATGTACATCAACATCTGTACATCAACTTGTGTACATCAATATGTGTACATCAACTTGTGTACATATACTTGCGTACATCAACATGTGTACATCAACATGTGTACATCAACTTGTGTACATCAACATGTGTACATCAACTTTTGAACATCAACATGTGTACATCAACATGTGCACATCAACATATGTACATCAACATGTGTACATCAACATGTGTACATCAACTTGTGTACATCAACATGTGTACATCAACATGTGTACATCAACATGAAACTATAAAGTCTGCTTTCAGGCCAATTAAGTCAAATCTCAAGGGACAAGTCAGTCAGTTTACTGACATATTTATTATTTGTTTAAACAATGCATAACCGTTAGAGAATATATCTGAAGGCAATAAAATTATGTGATTTTCAAAATTGTATAAGGAGTTGATTGGGCTATCGGGCATAAATTTATACTAGCCAAGTGGGCACTCTTACTGCAACATAGGATGCCTAACGTTTGTTTCTGTGTTAACCTTTCACCTCTGTAGACCAACAAATCAGGAGGCGCCATTGTATTGGTGTCACATATTCTTTAGAGTATTGTAGAAAATAATAAAAGTGTTGAAGAAATCAACACAATCATAGACGAAGCAGTCTAACGTCCTGTAGGTGCTGGTTGGTAGATGTCTCAGTGGAGGAGTCCGAGGTGGATACCAGAGTATTCTAATAGAGCTTATAGAAGGGAGGTAAGTACAAGTAGGTAAGAGATGGAGCATCAACACCAAGGATTCTGTAAATGTAAGTTTTATAAGTTTACATGTTTCGGGTTGCTAGGCCGACTGTCATCATGGGTTCTGACAACGGTTGGCCTAGTCATCCGAAACATGTCAACTAATAAAACCTACAGTTACGGAACCCTTGGTGTTGACGCTCCATATCTTACCTACATGTAATAAAATGCACCTGTTTCATGATTTCAGTACCAGGCTGTGAACTCCTAGCAAGCACCACATGCATGCTACCCTGACACCAGACTTAGACATTTTGACAAATAGATGTCTGGTGTCTCAGTCTGGTGTCAGGGCCAGAGGAAACTCCCTAGCTACCCTGTGTATTACCACATACCTATAATATTCCTACCTATATTTACCTCTGATCAGTTCAATGACAGACTTGGTGTTGCCACATTGTTGACGGCGTTCATAGGACAGATGCAGAGCGGCGACTTGGACAGAAATCTCGGGACTGATGAAAATTTTAGCAATAATAAGACCCCGATTATTGATGTCTGGGCCTGGTACAGCAGGCAGCGTGTGGGTGGAGAACAAGGTGATCGGTTTCCGACTCAGGATCCCTATTCCTGAAGTAAACAAGTAAACAAAGAATTTAACATTTAATTTTGGATATTCCCCCATGATAGACTTATTTATATTGTATTTCTGAACAATTACTTTACAACGTTAAAAATTCATCTGATTGTAGTGATGGGTCAATACTCAATTAATATAAGGCATGGGTAGAGCCAACGCTGTGGTTTCCTTAATGGTGGAATAATTTGGTCCTTTGCTCCTCGTCTGGATACCCGAAAGTATGCAGGGGATTGAGTAAAAGAGAGAACATCATAAAACAGATTCAATTATTTCACCATTAAGAAAACCACGGCGTTGGCTCTACCCTTGCCTTGTTTTAACCACTTTCATTTAGAGCCCCTGCATCTCCCGGGATCCGCTGTAGGAAGTCTACAGAGTCTGCCATAAGACCAACCCATGCTTCCTATACTGCCATCAAAATGCTCTCATACGGCTTCATTAAAACCATGGTTCAGTTACCCAAAAGAATGAACATTAATAAACTCTTTACTATTGGAAACAAAATGTCTATGAATTGGGCGTATCAACCTACTGCAGAGGTACCCTATTTTATAACATTACACAGACCTAAGGTTGTAGAAGAGAAATCAGCCGACAAGGTTTAATTACATGAAGTTGTTGTCATTATTTTACAAAGTGTTCCACAGACGTCAAATTAAAACCTACAAAGGTAAACACCATATTCAGCAGCGCATTCACAATGATGTCATCCCTATAGGAGTTCTAGTGAAGTTTTGACCCCTTACCTTACCAGAATCTACTACTACTCTACTTAAAGATAGAAAAGATCTTTCAGGAGCCATCCCAGTATGTCATAGGGAAACGGTGACCATATGGCAACTCTTACAGAGGACCTTTCCTTCATCTAGGCATTGGACTCAAAAACTTCTATTATTTTTTTTATTATCTCCTTATATTGTTCAGTCTATAGTAGGTTATTTCCATCATTCTAGATGACTTCAACCTAGCTTTACAATGATTATTAAAATCCGTTACATGTATTATAAGACCAGTATATCTACCAGCTAGATGAAACTCTGCACTACAATCTACCAATGGACAATTCAGTATGTAAAGAGTTTGCATTCTCTAACTATTACGTCCCGCTAGACAACATTTTTATTGATGTCCTTTTAGATATGTATTGATATTGGCTTAACAGAGTTATCTTTCTTGTAAAACTATTGATGACGTCACAATACTACCTATTGTTTATGACGTCACAATCTCTGCCATTGTTAATGATGTCACTATACATATATATATGTAGAATAATTGTATGTGCCCCGATTTTAAGTACTTCAGGGATAGAAATATCCTATAATTTTGTCCTGAATAAGCCCACTGTAGGGGCAAAACCGGTCGACACTTCTAATAAACTACAAGAATAACTTATTGCTCCTTCGCCTGTTGTGATTGAATCAATTAATATAAGTTATAATCAAAAACAGATTGGTATTCCCTATCTGATTCCAATTATCAATTACAAATGCTATATTTGGTTCATTACTGAATTCAAATGTATAAAATGTACAGTATGCATTAAAAGTCTATTTTGTTGTTTTAAAAAGAAAATGGTGTAAAAGTTGGTTGTGTAAGAAAGAAACCTAATCTAAGGCAAACAACTCACCCTTATACACTGTATTACAATGGTGTTGTCACGATTGTATTTGAGTACGAAGTCCCATAAAATTATGAAATAATTATTATATAATCCATCGTCGATCAATTCTGGTTACAAACCAATTATGATATTATTTTATTACTGTTCCTACTAATATCAATCAAGACTGAACAACAAATTTAAAAACAACTAAAATAGGATCTGAAACTGTACGTTCAATAGATGAACCTGTCTAGATTTTGTTATTCAATGTGTCTTCCGATACATTTTTGCAAGATAAAATTAACCTTCCTTTTCCCAGCCAAGCCAGTGAGCTCCCTTGGGTTTCTGAACTTTGTTGGCCTCCCGAAACAATCTCCACTTATAGTCTGGTAATAACTCTTGGAGTTCCATTATCTGGTTTCCTCCCCCATTTACATGAAATCTTACTTCCTGGAAAGCCACCACATCAGGCTTTGCATCAGTTATCTATTAGAAAAGAGAACAGAATACATAGATTAAGTCATATGTTTTACATATGCAACAAAGCATTTTAATTCTAACAATAACAAAATAATACAAGATTATTTAACAATGTGATAGGGTCTCAAATTTCCTATAACTGTGACAGAACTCATAGGTATGAGTGCAATTGTCGCAATCAGGTGTTCTCGGAGGTGGCATTTTGATACAGTCTTTTCTTCCAAACATGTATAAGCTGAAAAAATGAACTAATAATCATGTCATCAATCAAATGTTGCAGGCACACGCAGCTGTGATAATGTTATGTGTGCACATCCAAACAACATCTTAACTACTGGTATTATTATATCAGCAAAATTGATGCAATACAAAATCTGAACCCTAAAAGGATCAATATGAAACCCTCTAAGTCACTAAGTGAATACGTTTGTGTAAAAAGCTGCCATAGAAATAGTGCAAATCCTTTTCCTATACACCACACAGAGATACGGTACTATTAATCATTGATTGATGACTGATTGGGCTTAACATACTTGTGCTAAGTTATAACCAAGCCTAGGACCATCACAACTCAAAACACACTATATTTGGGGTTGATTTTAAAAGTACAGTTCTTATACTTTTATAATAAATTCCTTTTTAAATGTCAGATGATTGTGATTTCTTTAAGTCAAGTTCAATAATATTAAAGAACAAAAGGCCCCATGGGCCTCTGTAATTCACCTCACATCAATGGCCTTCAAAATGTGTCAATGTCATATTTATTTAAATAGCCCAATATTGATCATAACCCTACAAGTTATGGACTTTTATTTGAAGATTTTCAAAATGTTACACGTTTTGGAATGTTACAGAAAGATTTTAACTCAATGTGGGTCAAGGTCATTTATTTGCACAAACTTGATTGCAGTAATTGTCCCAGGGTTACATAGACTACATTCGTGTATCAGGTTAAAACGGTTGAAGCGGTTGAACCCGTAAGAAAACGACAGGCACAGATCTAGATCTGAAGCGAGGCTGACCTCAGGAAAATTCGGCACACGAAGATTGAGCTAGGGTTCATTCACGTATCCGGTTGAAACGGTTGAACCTGTAAAGAAAATGACAGGTACAGAACTGAACCAAGGCTGACCTCAGAAAAATTTAGCACGTGTAGATTGAGGGGTCCAAACGTACCTGGCCGAAACTAAAATGCTGACTATTGCCAGTTTGCATTATTTCTTTCTAAAACAATGTCAAGTCACATGTAGTTTTTAAGATACATTATGTGATTCAGTGGACGGATGAAAAAAGGTCATAATATTTTTGAAACACTGTTTTATATTCTCCGAAACTGTGCACTTTTAGCTCTGCTTATAGAACGGTCCATTAGTGCTTTCCCTTATGGTGGAAAATTTCTGCGCCACATGTACCGTTTCAACCGGGATACACGAATGTAGCCCTAGGGGTCCAGACATACCTGACCGAAACTAAAATGCTGACTATTGCTAGCTTGCATTATTTCTTTCTAAAACAATGTCCAGCCACATGTAGTTTTTATAAGATATGTTATGTAATTCAGCGGACGCATGAAAAAGGGCATAATATTCTTAATACATTGTTATTTATTTTCCGAAACTGTGCATTTTTAGCTCTGCTTATATAAGAGTCCAAGTGCGTTCGTTTATCATGGAATATTTCTACTCCACCTGTACTGTTTCAACCGGGATACGCGAATGTAACCTTATTGACCAAATTTTAGGGCATCTTGGTTACATCAAATAGGATATGCTTGAACACAATTGATTCGACATCTGGAAGTAAGTGGTAAAAAATCATTCCTGTTAACCAATTTAATAGACTTCCGCACAAAGCATAAATTTCAACTTGGACAGTCTTCACAAAGGGAGACAACTCTTCTTACAGCACAGGGGGAGATAACTATTCTTACATTGTGTTTGTAATTGATCGACCCTTTATTGATTTTAATTCTTAATTTGTCCAATACAATGCATAGTTTAGTACTTCGAATATAAATACATACCATAAAATACATGAATACGTTCATGATAGGTTTCAAAATTAGAAATAACCCCCCCACCCCCCCACCCCAAAGTAATTGATGATGCATGGTTTACTTAATGCAAGGGAGACAATCCTACTGCCAGTACAGTGTAGTGGTATATTTGATAATTTAATTTTAAATGGCACACATCACAATTCATACCATTTGCGCTATTCTGTACTTTCGAACGTTCCAGTTAAACATGACGTTCCATAGATTACAAGTAGCGACGGTAATATCATAGGACAAAACCACATTCACATATACACTTCCTAATATAATGGCCAAGTAGCCGGGTCGTGTCTCCATTTTGTTGTGGAATGCTTGCCTTTAATGAGTTGTATCTAATGTAATAGAACACATACAACGTAGAATTGCCACAAATGGGATATGTATACATTAGAAAGCTGCTGATAATTTTATAATTGATATTATTTGAGATATGTTGACCTTTGTATGTCTTAAATTGCATGAGCATATCTTATTTAAAACTGATGTAATAGTTTAAGTTTAATCGGTTCCGCTGCCTAAAAGAAAACGCCCCATATATTTCCGCATCACAAAGATGTTTGTATCGGTATTTAATTCGCATGGCAAACTCAAAAATATTGTTTAACACCGTTAATGAGAAAAAACAACAACTACGCTGCAAGATGGATTTGAAAAGTTTAAAAGCAGAAATTGAACGGAAAAAACGACAGTTAGAGTCAAACAAAGATATTATGGTATGATCGAGTGTATTCGTATCGTTTTAAGGAAAATATACGGTTGGATGGGTTTTAATTGTCTATAGATATTGAGCTACATCAGTGTCTACTGTACAGACTACTCACTATAAGCACGGAATTAGATTAGAGGGAAAGGCAACTATAAGCTGTTAGCCTCGTCAGGGCTAACAGTTAACCTTTGATATTTAGTTATATCAGATTGTAGACTGTCCTCAAAATCATTAAGTCAAAACTCATTTTGGGGAGTCCGAAACTCACTCAAGTGTTAACTGAATGCCCTTCTTGTCCAACCTGTTCTTTATAGTAATACTCATCTTATATCATTTAATATGCCCTGTACCAATACCTCTTATATGAAAGGATGCATTAGAATAAAATTCCCTCAAGTCAAGTGGAAACATCCGACACATTTGTACAGTGCTGTTGTGTAGGTGTCAGGTTGTTTCGGTGGTAAACAAGATGGAAGTCGTTTCGGGACTTTTTTCCGGGTCGTTTCTGGAATGTCAAAAGTCGTTTCGAGACATCACGATTATTTTCTATTGTTTGCTTAGCACACGTGTTTATGTTTGTTTAGTTTACTTTTTAATTGAGTAGTTTTCAAAATTTCAGCAAAACAAACAGTAAGGAGTCCTTGATTGCAGAGATTTGAATACGTAGACACACCCTACTAGTCTACATTGTAAAATTTTGTACTTCTTATGTGCAGAATTTACTGTCAAATTAGTACTTCTGTAAAAAGGAAAACTTGATTAAGTTGGCCACATTAATAGGGAAAAGAGTAAAATAAAAACATGTTATCAAGATATCAAACAAGGAACCTTCAATAACGAATGAAATAATGTAAAAATAATGATTGATTAATTGATATTGACCGCGCAGTCGGTACTTGGTGTTCGTTCTTCTCTATTTAATAATGGGATTAGTTACTTCAAATTAACAACATGTTGTCAATCAGGTAAATGTAGGCAAGCAATTCAAGCGTGGCGCTAATTGGCAAAACAAGCACGGGTAGAATGAAGCCACCATATACATACTCTTGTGTACACATAAATCGTGACGTCGATGCTAATAGGCTACAACGAAAGTTGTGTTTACACAGATTTTTACGAAAAGGGAAAGAGAAATGTAACATTCATTCATATTTTGATTATGTTTTTTATATGTCAGGAAAGAGTAAGTCCCGAAACGACTTGTTACCGAAATGACTACCATTCGTTGTGTATTGTGGGATATATATGCATGTAGGTCAAACAGAAAAGTTTTCTTTGAAACAAATAGATAAATTCTTTTGATTAAACAAATAAATAAAAGAGACAAATTCATTTTTAGTGACAGAATATGTAGAATATGTACATTTGGAAACTAACATTTTGTATTAGTTAAGTCTACTTTGCTCACAAGTTAGTTATAAAACCATACACCACACAATGTAATATAAAATGGCTAGCCTAGGAAATAATGCACAATTGAATTAATTCATTTTTAGAATTTGAATTAATTCATATTTTTTTACCCAACGATTATATTTTAATAAAATTGAACTAGACATCTTTAAAATCAAACTTCAATCTCTAAACCACTAGTATTTCATACACAGGACTACACATTCTTCTTTGCCATGTACATGCTTTCACATGTTTTTTTTATCAGCAGATGTGTTTTCTCTAAACTTACTGATTAAACAGCAGAAAAATGAATACTTTCAGGCACCAAACAAGAAATATTTCAAACGTGGGGACCTGGCAGCAAAACAAGAAGGGGAATATTGGAAAAGACATCAACAGCTTAACAAAGACCAGCAATCATCGTCACAGGTATTATACCAAAGAACTTGTCAGCTAAACAATCACCAGCAGTCATCGTCACAGGTATTATACGATAGAACTTGTCAGCCTAACGATCACTAGCAGTCATCGTCACAGGTATTATACCAAAGAACTTGTCAGCTAAACAATCACCAGCAGTCATCGTCACAGGTATCAATCACCAGCAGTCATCGTCACAGGTATTATACCATAGAACTTGTCAGCTAAACGATCACCAGCAGTCATCGTGACAGGTATTATACCATAGAACTTGTCAGCTAAACAATCACCAGCAGTCATCGTCACAGGTATTATACCACAGATCTTTTCAGCTAAACAATCACTAGCAGTCATCGTCACAGGTATTATACCATAGAACTTGTCAGCTAAACAATCACCAGCAATCATCATTACAGGTATTATACCACAGATCTTTTCAGCTAAACAATCACCAGCAGTCATCTTCACAGGTATTATACTGTAACAGGAGAGGAAAAATGTACAGCCAGACTGGGGTTCGAACCCAGGACCCTCCAGACTCTAGACGGACGCTCTACCAATTTAACTATCTGGTCGCCGACAATCGACCCAGTCCAGTTCAGCTACAATACCCATGGATCTTTTCAGCTTAACAAACACTAGCAATTATCTTCACAGGTTTTTAGCACAGACGTGAAAAGGTTAGGGTCACCTACCCGACCACGTGGGTTTTCTTCGGGTATTCCGGTTTCCTCCCATAATAAGACATCCCCACCACTAACATCCGGGCCAACAAAAACTTGTTTCGCAATTGTTGTAAAATAAATAAAATTTATATATATATGCAGACTCCACATGCATACAGATGTGCTCATAAAATGATAATAATATCTGCTAAACTGCAAACTACAGAAATATTTTACACTTTAAATAACAGAGAGTGAAATATGTCAAAAATCGCCAGAAACTCATATTAAGAAATTGTCATTGTAACTATGTTTATAAATTGATAAACTATCAAATGTAATAATTTTATTTGCTTATGGTATTTAGAATGAAGTAAACAAGGAAGAAAACAAAACAAAAGATGAGGAAGAAAAAGTACCACAGCTCCCAAGGAAAGAGGTGAGCATCTATAAAATACTTATTCTTGTGATGGCTTTACCAACAACATAATTGGATTTTAATTTACAAAATTAACAACAATCTTTATATATGTTACTTGTGTTATTGTGTCTTTATAAATATTTGCATTATATTTGAATTCACGATTGCTTTTTATCAAAAAATAATTTTTAAAAGAATGATTAAGTGTAGATATCATTGCTGTTTAGGCCCAATGAAGCTATTTGACTAATTTATCCCTGACAACACATTTGAACTCTTCCAATTCAAAGGTTGGAATAGTTCATTATGAAATTTCAGGGGTGAATAAGTTAATGTAAACTTACAATCTTTCAATCTCACATGTTGACCCATTTTTATGTGTTTCTTAGGGGAGACATGATAGGACATGGTATTTTTTATCAATCCCTCTTGACTTTTTCATGTCCGCAATATAACTTCTTATCTAATATGTTAAATCAAACTTCATACACAAATGAATCATCATGCAATAGGCAGTACGTTTGTTAATATGGGATATTTCTTGTACTCCCACTTCAAGATCAAGGTAATTTTCCTGACCAACGTAAATTTCTTATTACTGGGGAAAAAATTGATAGACCATTATACGAAGTCTCGAACAGTAGGTTCTAGGCATTTGCTTCAATGCCAAGTAAAAGTATTTAGGTCAGAGGTACAAACAAAGGTTTTAGAGAATAATTTCTTCAATTATTCAGTATTTCCCAGAATTACACCTGAATACGAAGGTGATCAATTTAGGTCATAGGATAAAATAGTGTCAAGGCAAGGTACCATGATTTATCATAATCTGTTGTTTGATCTAGGTCGTCCGGCGTTTGAGAGAACGTAATGAACCAATCAGGTTATTTGGGGAAAATGACTACGAGGCATTCCAGAGACTTAAGAAGGTGGAAATGCTAGATCCAGATATTAAAAAGGTACGTTTTTATGTGTTTCTTAAAAAAAATATTGCTTGTCCCGTATGTCAATGGCTTAATAGCTACCCTGGTCATATTGCTACAAACGACTTCTAATGTAGAAATTTGCTCTGGATATCAATCATATTTGATCAAAATCATTCATGGGAGGCGGGGATTCAAAATTGTACAAATGTTGGGGCTGACCCCTCAGAGGGCTGAGGGGCGGGGCCAAATATGGGCAATTTGGCTATATTGCTTTAAACGACTTCTAATGTAGAAATTTGCTCTGGATATCAATCATATTTGATCAAAAGCATTCATGGGAGGCAGGGATTCAAAATTGTACAAATGATGGGTCTGACCCAGGGGGCTGAGGGGCGGGGCCAAAAGGGGACAATTTGGCTATATTGCTTTAAACGACTTCTAATGTAGAAATTTGCTCTGGATATCAATCATATTTGATCAAAAGCATTCATGGGAGGCAGGGATTCAAAATTGTACAAATGATGGGTCTGACCCAGGGGGCTGAGGGGCGGGGCCAAAAGGGGACAATTTGGCTATATTGCTTTAAACGACTTCTAATGTAGAAATTTGCTCTGGATATCAATCATATTTGATCAAAAGCATTCATGGGAGGCAGGGATTCAAAATTGTACAAATGATGGGTCTGACCCAGGGGGCTGAGGGGCGGGGCCAAAAGGGGACAATTTGGCTATATTGCTATAAATGACTTTTGTAGAACTATGCCATGGATATTGATCATACTTGGTATGTGGAAATGGTTGAGATCCCCACCGTATAACCATATATACAATTGCTGAGTATAAAGAGAAGAATGCACATTTGCTTCCAGGATGGCCCTAAGGGTCTAAAATCGGTTGAGATCCCCACCCCAAAACTATGTATACAAATGCTGGGCATAAAGAGATGAATGTAATCACGATATTAGAATAGACCCTGGAGTCTGACCAAACCCCTAGGGACCTAGTTTCTAAGTCACAGCTTAGAAACAGTTGAGATCCCCAACCCATAACCATACATAAAATTGCTGGGTATGAAAAATCTAACCCTTGGATCTCATTTGGAGAATATTTTGCCATGATTGCTTCGATATCCAGGTGAGCGAGTCAGGCCCTCTGGGCCTATTGTTTAAAAGTAAGTTTAGCTCAGAAAGAAAACATTGTATGTGAACAACTCACCTGATTTTAAAGGACAAGTAATTACTAAATAACAAATCAGTCAGCTTGGACCTGCAATGTTTTATCATAAGCCGTGCATGCAATTTATGAATATACAGTGTATCTTTATATATATAGGGTGAAGGTTATGAAAATGACTTCAAAGCAGCCATGGACCGAGTTGATCAGGAGTTCATTAATGAAATAATCAACGCTGGGTCGGGAAAGTCCTCCAATAATGTAGCTGTGAGAGACGATGGAACAACAGAGGAAGACATCAAGGTGAAGGTCAAATGAAAATTCCATAAGTCAGATAGTATACACAGTGATCCTTATCTACACTTCACAATTAGGCAGCTTTTCAAAATTTCCAGACTTTATAATATTCAACTGCACAAAATAACTGGAGGCAGAAACTTTCCTCTTTTCATACGCCCGTCGAAGACGGGGACGTATTATGTTATCACGTGAGCGGGCGGGCGGGC